GTGATTTTTATTCCAGATATATGCTCAACACACTAAACAGCCGGTTTATGTTGCTCGGTGGGTAAAAACTGTCTCGTATAAGGTTACACGAATTAGATGGTTCGTTACATTGCTGGCAGTTTTTCTTTTATTTGAACACGTTAAACGTCACATTCGGATGATTGTTTATTCGTATGTAAACTATAACCACGACTTAACAACTTGTGTCAAGTGTATTAAATTTTTTGGAATATACTTTTCTAAGAGGTTCTGTAGTAAAAGATATTTCTTCCTATAAACAGGTTAGGTCAGGTGCACATTGATGTGTTGTGCCGTTCTATTCTTGAGGAACAATTAAGCAGTGGTTAGTGTTTCGAAGTTCCAATTTGCACAAATCACTTTCCTTTGACAAGAAGCGTGGCTGAACGATTCACATTGTAGTTAAACCGTAAATGGGCAATTATTAATCGAGTATTATTACGTGTATCGACTCGAAATTAATCCAGGTTAGATCTCTTATCTCTTCGGAGCAATTCGCTCTGCCAGAATTCTGCGCGTGTTACAGCATCGACAACTTTGGTCACGCGATGCAAACCGATCAACGTGACTAGAGCAACGGTGAAAAACATAGACTGGCCAGAAGTGAGAGAGACGCAAATGCACAAAGTAACGAATGCCGCGTGTATTTGCCAAACTAAACCAACTAGCCGCTAAATCTCGACCGATAAGTCGCGTGTTGCAGTTTGAAACGAAATGGTCGGTTTCAAAGGGTGATATTTATTTTTGCCTTTCAAGAGAAAAAAAAAGTTTGAACGTCCATATGACTAACGAGTTTTGAGCAATTTTCATCAAAAAGCTGCGTAAATGAATTATATACATATACAATGTTTTTACGTGTATTTCATATTTTAACCTCTCCAGTTGTAATATTGTCACTCGGATTATAACCGAGTTACGCCAAAATTTGAACTGTCATTTCAATTGGTAAAATCAAGGATTATTGAATATAAATTGTGCATAATATTTCACGTATTAATAGAAGCGAGTAATTAATCTATTTGATCTATACAAAAAGAATTGATAACCTAAAGAGGCTAACTTGGAATTAAAAAATATCTTTTTAGCCGGGTTTACCCATGAAAATTCTTCATCTCAAACCCATGAATTAGATTCGTAAACTTGATGCTAATTGTTTTAGCAAACTGACACGTCGGTAAGAACGTCGGATAAAGTAGATTTTAGTTTCTACGGAAAGTTTTACGGAATTTTCCCTACGTTTTTATTTCCGAGTGAAGGCACGAGAAACTGGGCTTCAATTAATTCATTTAATTTTACTTTCGACCGTAGTAAATTTTAATTAAATTTTTCGCGCTTCGTCGAATTCGCACAGCCCCTCTCTCTCTATACTGACGAATTCAAAATTTTTTTCTGTTTCATTTTTTTTTTTCTCTTTTGTGTGTGTTTAAATCCAAACGATCCAGAAAGTAATTGTAAAAGTTTAACGAAATGCACTTTATATCGGAACTGACGTCATACAACTTCTTTCGCAAGCTAAGTAAATAATGGCTTCGGTGTGTGTATATGAGTCACGTGATCGGAAATGCAGCGCAATGGAGGCCATTCGGTATATCGCCGCGTTACGCTAATTGTAAGACTGTTTCCACCGAACAAAATTCTATCGAATTCCGATATTCAAGTATCCTTCAGGCGTGTCTCAATTCGGAACTTCGAAATTTCCGAATATCTCGTGAAATGCAGCTGTCACTTTGCCGTTATATACTTCAACGGAATTCAATTGTTTTAACCTCAAACAAATAGTGTCAGAGCATTCTCATTGTTTAAATTTAAATAAAGCAGTTACATTGTTTTTTTTTTATGGAAAAGTGTTTATAAACAGGTTCCCATTTAATTATCGTATCGTAGCTGTGTTTAATTAAAAAGTTGTTGATTAAAACAAAATTCCAACCATTCCACCTTTGTTTACACGATCTTCTTGAAACGTTATGTAATCTTGTTTGTCTGTCGTACGATACTGGCACAAAATACACATTGTTTGAAGCTCGCGAGAACGATGTATGTATGAACTTTGAAGTTCGTAGCACAACCCCCTTGCACAAATAGCTGAAAAGACCGATCCGAGTCGATTCGATTTCGAAATCGGATCATCGTGCGCCATTGTTTGAAAAGTTGCAAACGTATAAGTTTCAACCAGAGCCCTGAGGCCATTGGAACGGACATGTTGAAATTTGTTATTTCAACAAATATTTCTCGTGTATATTCGCGTTGGATCGAGCTTGTGCACGTTACACGGAACAAAGGTATAAATACGGGAATATGTAGATGGCGCCAGATTACTGAATATAATTGTACTTCGTATGAATTTGTTTGGTTATGTTTATTTTTATCGAATCTTGGAATTATTTCATAAAAATTCGTTACGAATAACGCGAAAAATTTTAACGGCTGTTATTTTTTATTCTGAGCGAAAACTTGAAGTAAAATTTTATCATATCTTAACGCTGTAAAAATGTAAACAACAGTTGACGATAAGAATTCGGTATTTAAACTGATCTAGGAAACTTTTCGTGGTTCCCCTTTATCTGGCATAACGATGAGATAACGCGATATTTATCTGTAGCACAGTTTGTTCTATACCCTCCATTGAAACGTAAAAGTAATTGCTGGCGCGGTGTGAATAATGCAACTACGAAATTATTAACATTTAAACAAAAACAATTTCGTGTCACAATGCATCGAACTATATTTGAGTTAAGTTGATGTGGCTGACAGAGTTCACGGAACAACATCAAAACTCGTTAGTCAACATAAATTAATGTTTGGTAAAATGAAATCTCATAGAGATTTACTTTATCGACGGAGGTCCCCTAGGTCGGTTATTTAATACAATAGTGATTTTCCATGCTTACACGCAAGCTGGCGTAATTCACACGACATGTTAATCATCGATTATCAGCTTAAATCCTGCATTATACACTGTTTTGTATATCTCTGGAATTTTCCTCACGTCATGTCGTTCCCATTCGAAGCGTGTAACCGGTAATTATACGGGAATACGAAAGTCGTATCTTTATTAAATATCACCCGTGTCTGGTGGACTGTTATAATTGGCGTGTAGGTTCACAATCACTGTCTATCGTAATGGAAAACTGACTCGCCCACGTATTCTCTTTTAGTTAGTCGAACAATTTCCTGTAACATGCATCCCTGTTGTGTAGCCTGAGTCGTCTACATTCGAACGGCTTCCGTCTAACTTATATATCCGAAATTTAATATCCCACCCGGTACGTGGCGACCGGTGTGGCTCAATTTACGATCGATTGTTAACGTAAAATTAAATTTTTAAACCGGCTCTTTCGCGCCATTGTGCCATGGACGAGGCCCTAAGTGGAACTTCTTTTCCTCTTTTTACTTCGTATTGGCTTACGTGTCTTATCTATGCCCTCTATACTCTATGGAAGTGCTATTTCAATGAGACCTACATTTTCCGCGCCCTATTGAGAACCTACTTTCGATCTTTAATTTCTCTGCTCCTATGACTCCGTCTACTCTTTTATTTTCGTCGTTTAATATGGAAATATTTTTATCATTATTTAACGACTCATGTTTAAAGCATATTTTAAACATTCTTGCTATTCGTTGATTATAATATTATCGAAGCGGTTGAACGTTACTAAATCTAATTGAGGATTATTAACTAAAATTTCAAAAACAGATGGCGCTCTAGCTTTAACCCCTGAAGAGCTGAAAGCACAAGCATCACAGTTAGTCGTAAAATGTATCGTAAAACACGTGTCCCTGACGCGTATTAAAACAATTTATTAGCATAATCTGCATTATCATCGTCTGATGGCGAATTTTATTACAACGGGAAATGTCGATACTTCCGAAATCTGCCAGCCCCTGAAGAATAAATTTTGAATAATATTCAATTACGTTTAATCGAATTACATCGAAATTATATTCGGTTGAGCGCCACGCGTTAAATTTATGCGGCGTAAATTTTTAAGATGAAATAAAATTACCGTGTTATAAAAGCGGAAACAGATTTCAAATTCACATGTATTCGTCATAACTATTATAAATATCATTAGGAACGAAAAATTTGTCAAGATCGTAAATAGCTCAATCGACAAGGCACTTGTCTGTCACTCGAGAGATCCTCTGGTGAGGGTTCAAATCCTCGTTCCTTAGTTTTACAATATGGTATAATAACTATCATGTTTCAATAACCATTTGTTCTATTTAATACTTCTTCGAACTCATTGAACATATCAATCGTTGTTCAAATACACAATGGAGGAAAATTAATTTTCACGTAAAAATATTTTTTACAGGTGTTGATAACCGCACAAGTACCGGACCAGAGGGGGCGAGAAAGGTGGCAGCGCAGCAGCAGCAAGTGGGTGCACAGAGCAAAAGGAGTGAGAAGAAAGGACACAAACGAGAGAGAAAGAGGGAGAGAAGAGAACCACCAGCCGCGTGGCGCACACACGTTACGAGGAAATGAATGGACGTGGTAACTACGGGAGCATCCCATCAAGAAGGAACACCGACTGATTCCAGGCATTAAATGTACCCTCAGGAATTCAGGTTTCGCCCGAGGCTCTCGCGAATCTGGGATGGCTTCGAGCAATGATGATATCGGATTAAGCCCGGCTAACAAGTTCGCCGACGTTCTATCGTCCGTAAAAGTAGATAGGTTTTAAATCGAGTCTTGCCCGGGACAAGGGAACGCTGTAACGCCGTTACTACGGCGAAATAATCCGAGGCTTATTGAATCCCGATGATATAATGGAAGTACACGAAGCGAAACGGTAATAGTCGGTTCGTGGAAGCTCAACTATATAACAAAATAGAAGAAAATCGTTGGAGGTCAGCATTTAGGTTGGCGTGTTGTGTATGCTCTTTGTATGTGGCTATAGACAGTCTAAAGAGAGAGCAGAAATAGTTGGCAACGGGAGCTAGTGGTGTTATTAGTAGAGTAGTAGAGTCAATTTCTCCCTCTTAATTTCCAACTTCCACTCAGCCGTTCCCCTGTCTATCGGTGAATCGCGTGGTGGTGGAAACTTAGTCTCGCGGAATTCTCTTCGAAAATGTAGATATATATGTATACAAGTATATACATAACCGATTACAGAGAAAGAGAAGAGTGAGGATCTCTAGGCGAGAGAATTCAAAACGTTTTAACAGGAATCCAACTGGTCGTAGGACGAAGTAAATCGACCACGAAACCGCTCCCAAAGATCAGGCCAGTGATATAGTTACACCCCCTATCCGAAGAGGGGAAATGCAACAGATGCCGCTGATAAGCGTAAGCAACGTCGCAACAGGGGGATCCAGCAGGAACGTAGACTACCACTCTGCAACCGTCGCCACCGCCGCCGCTATCTACAACATTTAGGAATGTAATATTTGACTTAGAAGCACACCTCTGCCAGACAGAGAGAGAAAGGGAGAGAGACTCGTTCCGTGAGGCTCTGTGTGTTGTAGCCTATGACTACTGTAATACACAGTAAGCACCACTGAAGAACACACGATAGGGCCAAAGGGCAGAGAAAAAAAATAGGGATTCGTTAGAGGAAGAGACATACAGAGAGGAGGAAAGAGAGAGAGAGACGTCTTCACAAGTGTCCTTACACGTTGAGTACACTCGTTGTCGCGTGCGTGCAAGCCAGCAGTAGCAGCAAGCTCCTCTCGTTTTTTCCTACTCCTACTCGGTTATGGAATGAACCGATGCCCGACTGAATTCTACGGTTATCCGTGGTTCAGGTTACACTGCTGCTATCATCGACGTCGTGCACCATCATCATGACGCCGATGACGCGTCCACCGTTCCTGTCAACGCTGGTGCCGCTGTTACTGCTACTATTGTCCCCAAGTTCGATCATCATCCCACTACTGTGTACCGCGAGCGGCGATGGTGGACCGAATAGCCCGATCTTCAACCTGGACAACACCGCGCTTGAAAAGAATTTGGCGGCGATATTTAACAAGGTGGCGCACAGTTCAGCAACCACGAAGCGTAGCGTGCCCGCGTACGATGCTCAAGTCTCGGCCAGTACAACCTTATCGACGGTACCGTCGCCTTTGACGACCACAACGACGACAACGACAACGACATCGCCGACGAACCCGTCGATACCATCCGTCAGATATCCTCCTGTTCCACGAGCAACCGTGTCGCCAGCGTTTCGCGAATTACCCTCGTACGCTCCCCCTTCACGCGCCCTCTTCACCCCGCCTCTGCCACCGGAGTACCTTCATCCGTTTGCAAACAAACCAACCCTCAGAGGAACCAACTCGGACGTGCATTCAGGACTGAAGAGACCGGTGCCGCCACCTAGCGGCACGCCCGCACACGAGAGGATACCCATCAGGCCACCTGACCTTCAGGGTCCATCTCAAGTGCCGGAAAGGCACTCCCATTCCAGAAACAAGCCTCTGAACACGCCTAGCAAGGAACAGAACGTTGTAGAGAGCAGTGAATTGGATAGAAGAAACAATACCAACGAGTTTGTACCCACGTTACATTATCCAAGTATATCAAGGATATTGTCAGGGAGCAATGGACGAAAACAGGATATTCCAGAGATACTTCTGAAGCCTCTGGCCACGAAAGGCCCACCTCAAAATGCGCCCGTGGTTCCTACAACTGAGAAGATGACCACGCCGTCCACTACAACGGCCAGAACGTCTAGCACGCTAGACTCTTCCAAGTTTGTTACACAACCGACGATCTTCAACTTGCCCAACACCAGGAGGCACGACGACGACGGTTACCACGGGCTCAGGCATGAGAACGGCTTCAAAACGGAGAACATAGAGATCGTGGATACAGAGAGGTTACCTTATCCTCAACCACAGCCTCCAGCTCCGCCACCGAAGAGGCCAAATGAGGCTGGTGATCGTATCGTGCCGCCGGTCGACACGCATCCCCTCGAATCCACATGGCGGATCGCCTGGTTTCTCCACGTATACGTGGCGGCGATTATGTTCACGTTGATGGCCCTATACTCGATCTACAAGATCGTCCGTTTCAACGAGGCAACGAATCTCCTAACACAGTCGTACTTCCTCACTGTTCATCTACTTCTCACGACTGTCTGCACCCTTAGGTGCTTTCACCTATTTTATGACGCTTACAATCTAGGCCATTCGCTACCCGAGCCTCTGTCCAGAGTGCTCATGTATCTACCTGCACCGTTACTCTCTACTGCGTTCGCCACGTTGGTATTGTACCTGGCTCGTTGTTCAGAAGCCTCGTCGCTGAACAACAGGTTCCTCTCGCCAATAGCGCTGGCTCTATCTGCAACGGTGCACATAGTCCTCTGTGTCTCACTGCACGTGTCCACGCACGTGCTAGGTTATCAGGACGAAGCAAAGATACTTCCACTGATCTGCCAGTGCATCTATATAATTGTATGCGTGACCTTGGGTCTGGGTTATATGTACGTTTACCGGGTGGTACGTTCCCAGATTCTCATGACGAATAACAAAACAGCGGGAGCGAATCATATAGTTGGTGCAGATCCAACCACTATGGCTTTAAGCACCGCCATTACAACAAGCATCGCAACGGCGCTGTTCTTCATCCTCATGGGTTTCGTTCAGTTATATGCGATTTTTGGTAACGTCCAGGAACGACCACAATCCTCCTATCGGTGGCTATGGTGGGGATGGCAATTCTCCGTTAGGTTGTTGGAACTGGCAGTGTGCGGTCTACTCGCATGGGTGGCCAGCCTGTCCCAGTATCCACTGCGGGAGAAACAGCTGCAGCAGCATCCAGTTCATTCTGGATTCGCTCTGTTTCCGTGCGGCAGCTCCACGTCCACCGAGAACCTGGACGATGTTCTTTACCCGGCGATCTGCAGCACAAACCAGGCGATTCAGAATTACACGATGAGAACTGGGAAACAGGTTTACGACGATAGCTTCCCGCTGAACACGCTACCCGAGCATTTGAACATATCAGGTATCGATACGCTGTACCGCTATGTACACTCTACTGTGATTGAATGTTATGGTCTGAATCGGCTGATGAACGTAGTTCCTATCGCTTCTGGTTCGTGAGAATTCTGTAAAGAAAATATTGTTCAATATTTTGTTTCCTTTCTTTCTTTTTCAATCGTTTAAATGATGAAGGTAGATGATGTGAATATTTAGAGAATCTCTCGAGTTTACCGTTGAAACGATACTTTCATGAATATTAGAATCCATTTTTAATTACAAAATGATTTACGAAATGATTACTTGTAATATAGAAGTTTCTCTAGATTTCTCATTGTTTCTCCGCCGCCGTTCCTCTCTCGCGCGTGTGTGGGGACACGGAACGATAAATTAGGTCAGCCGGAAGCAACGTGCTGTTTCAGTCAACGTGCCTTGAGAGGAGAGTTCAAAACGCTGACTCGTGATATTAGTACAATACTGAAACCTCGAAATCAGCAGTTCTTTCTGCGCTTTGTCTTCTAATCGACGCGCTATTACCTCAAGGCACCGCGCG